TCTGCTCAGCTGCTAACGGCTTCTTGGAGAAGAAGATACAAGGTTGAATCCTCCTATCCCTAGCCTCCTGACTAAGCACCACCCCGACCCCGGTATTGGAAGCATCCACCTTGACAATAAGCTGCCTCTTGGGGTCAGGGGACACCAGAACTGGAGTCAAGTTAAAAGCGGCCTTGAGCCTGTGAAATGCTCGATCCACCAGATTGGACCAGAAAAACTTGACCTATGATGTCGTGAGGGCGTGCAGGGGTGCTGCCAACTGACTGTAGTTCCTAATGAACCGGTTAAAGATGGCATATCCCAAGAACCTCTCGAGATGCTTCCTATCCTTAGGAACCGGCTAGTTGGTGAAAGTGCGCATCTTCAAGGGGTCAGTGAAGATCGGTCGGGAGACACAACAAAACCCAGCATAGGGACAATGTTGAAGTGACTCTTCTCTGCCTTGGCATTTTGCTTACCATCCAGAAAACATTTCCAAAAGGCTGGCTGGAAAGTGAAACGTCTTCAAACTTAGAAACAAAGTCCAAGTTTTTTGGAATTAAATCCAAAAATTAGACCTGGATGGCTCAGAATGTTCACCAGTATCTTCCACTTATCACCCTCACAGAGGCGCACTAGGTGATATGCATTGTGGAGATCCAGATTGGTAAAATCCTTGGCTCCCTGAGTCTGATCAAATGCGATGTTAATCAGGGGAATAGGGTACTGATTCTTAACTGTAATATCATTGAGTCATTGAGGCCCCTGTAATCAACGCAAGGCCTGAGTGATCCATCCGTCTTGCCCACAAAAAAGAAGCCTGATCCAGCAGGGGAGGAGGAGGGATGGATAATTTCCTCTGGAGCTCACCAGAGGAAGCACATTCAAGATGGCGCTACGCAGGCAGCAGCCGGTCACATCGGCTCCTACTTTTCTTTTCCTTCTTTCTATTTTTATAGTGTTATTTGGTGTGTTTTTATAATATTGAACACCATAGCTGGTACTCCGAAGCTATGCACACCAAGGACACCAACTTTCGGGACTCTTGTGCTTAGCTTTCTGCTACTTTCGGCACTTTTTGATGCTGCAAGGAGAGACGCCTTTGTCTGCGACTCCAAACGGCCCATTGTTTACACGCGGGACCAGCTCCCTGGACTACGGGACCCTACACACCGCTTCCCTTCTCCCCACCACACAGAGAAACCAGACATCCCTGCAGAAATACGGAGGAGACGGAGAGGCTGTAGAGGTGGAAGGATGCAGTGGAGGAAGAGTTATCTACCATCGGTTGTCATGGGAAACATAAGATCTCTCCGCAACAAGACCGAGGAGCTCGCAGCGCTAGCGCGTTTCCAGAGGAGGTACAGAGACACTAGTTTTTTTTTGTGTTTTTTTTAACAGTGTCCTGTCTGGCAATGTGGCAATAAGAATAATTGTCTTGATGTCAAAAAGAGCCCAACAGATTTTACTTTCACAAGTGTAGCAGGACGGCTATCGCCATAGTGTTCCACTTGTTTCATGCATATAAATTGCTTTATTATAATTATGCAGAGACGCTAGTTTAATGTGCTTCACGGAGACGTGGCTAGATGGGTCTGTCCCGGACTCAGTGGTTTCCCTGGATGGCTTTAAAGTTATCCGCGTAGACAGAACTTTGGCGAAGAGCAGAAAAAAGAGTGGAGGGGGGCTGGCGGTGTTTGTGAATGAGAGATGGTGCAGCGTGGCCCATGTTCACGTGAAGCAGCAGATATGCAGCTCAGATATGGAATTACTCGCAGTGAGTCTAAGACCATATTATCTGCCGCGTGAGTTTGGTCATGTGATCGTGCTGTGCGTTTACATCCCTCCCTCCGCTGATGCCGCCGCTGCTTGTGAGCGGATCCACAGCGTGGTAAACAAACTACAGACAGAACACCCCGCGCTCTCCTGCTCATCACAGGAGATTTCAACCATGCCCCCCTCCGCGCCACTCTCCCCACGCTCACACAATACATGACATGCGCAACCAGGAACAATAAAACGCTGGACCTTTTTTATGCAAACGTTAAGGATGCATACACGTCTGTCCCCCTCCCCCCACTGGGACGTTCAGATCACAACCTTGTCTACCTGCCCCCCATTACATTCCACTGGTGAGAAGGACAATAGCACAGAAGAAGTCAGTGAAAGTTTGGTCGGATGACGCCACTGAGGAGCTGAGGGATTGTTTCAGCACCACAGACTGGAGCATGTTCCAAAGCTCTCATGGTGAGGACATCAACAGCCTGACTGAATGCATCACTGACTACATGACCTTCTCACAGTAACACCAATGCAGGTGAGAGGGCAGCTGATGAGGCTGAAACAGAGGAAAGCCTCAGGACCAGCCCAACATCGGAGTAGATGACGCCATCATCTGCCTGCTGCAGCGGGCGCTCACCCACCTGGAGACCACTGGGAGCGCTGTGAGAGTCATGTTCTTTGACTTCTCCAGCGCTTTCAACACCATCAGACCGGTGCTGCTGGGGGGGAAGCTGGAGGACGCTGGGGTGCACAAGCACCTAGCTGACTGGACCACCAACCCCCTCACTGACCGTCCTCAGTACGTGCGGCTGCACTGCTGCCAGTCAGAGGTGGCACTCTGCAGCACCGGGGCCCCCCCAGGGCACCGTCCTGTCTCCTTTTCTGTTCACCCTCTACACCTCGGATTTCACCTACAACACGGACAGCTGCCACCTCCAGAAGTTCTGGATAAAACTTTGGATCAACAGAATTAATCAGCATCTGGGACTTAGCCAATCATAAAAAGAAAAATGAACAAGCAATGGATCAACCTAAAAGTTCCACCCTTTGCCAGTCAGTATGTGGGTTGTACTTAGTTAGCCAGGTAGAACCTAATATGACAGTAATCTTAGATGAATCTATGATAAGACAAAATAACTGTTCAACATTGTTACCCACCACCACCAGCTCAACAGGTTCTGTCATAAGGATGACTGGTTTAGCTGATGTCCATCTGAGGCTAGTACCTGGTGTGGAGTCCGGTGTGGGAAGTAGCTTGATGCCTAGATGTCTGGCCAGGTCCCCATCCATGAACTCGGTATCTGCACCTGAATCCAAAAGGCTGACAAACTATGGCTATGTGAGACAACAGACAGAATCACAGGGAGCAGAAATTCTGGGGAGGCAGATAGTCTGGTTCAGTTCAGCAGTATACTCCCCCCTCCCACTGAGCCTGCTCTTTTTACCGTGCAGCGGGTTGAACAATGTCCCCCTCAACCGCAGTAGAAACACAGGTGAAGCGATGATCCTTCTCCTTGGAGAGTGAGCTGAACCCAGGTGCGTGTGTTCCAGATCGTAGGAGCGAAGGGGTTCCAACGTCGTTCTGTAGACCTCCAAAGCCGTAGAGCAGGACCCCGCTCCCTACGTCACTCCTGAAGCAGGAGGTCAATTCGGGTTGCTCATCCAGGTCCTTCAGAGAACGAGGGTAATCATGGCTGGAAATCTCATCCTTAATCCTCTTGCCAAGTCCTGTTATGAAGACGTCCATCAGTGTCTCCTCGTTTTATGTATTCTCTGCAGCTAACGTATGGAAGTCTATAATTCAATTCAGTTTATTTATTTAGTGACAAGTCACAATACAAGTCATCTCAAGCAATTTACAGTGGAAATTGTTTCAAAGTTTTCTATTTAAGCTCCATCTGATATCAGAGATCTGATTGTTCCTTATGTTCCTTTTAGTCCGTGAGGCAGACACCCTGTCTACTTTTAAGGCTAGGCTTAAAACTTTCCTTTTTGATAAAGCTTCTAGTTAGAGTGGCTCAGGTTATCCTGAGCTATCTCTATAGTTCTGCTGCTATAGGCTGAGACTGCTGGAGGACATAGGGACCCCTTTTTCATAATTCTGCTTCATTCTATCTCTATTCTCCCACTCTGCAGAATCTGTTAGTTCAATCTCTAACCTTCTGCTCTCTCTGCTTTTTCTCATAGTAGCTTCATCTGGTCTGTTCCTGTTTGGCTGTGACTCCATCCTGGAGAGAAATATCAGCTGTGCTGCTGCCATCAACACCTTTGTTTCTAGATGTTGGAGCTTGGCCTGTTTTCCAGTGTAGTCCTGTTTCTCTGACTGTGACTAACTGGATGTGCTCTCTTCATCCTCTGACATGGGAGCTGGCTCGGAGCTCGTCTGCCTGGCTGTGTGTTTCCTGGACGGGGCCGCCTGTGGAACTGGTTGACAGTTGCCTTTTGTATCTATGCTTCTTTTTCTATGTCTGCTTCTGTCTCCTTGAACCCCAGTCGACCTCAGCAGATGGCCAATCCCCTGGGAGGGATTGCTAAAGAGTCAATGAGTCGATGCAATCAGCTGGTTTTCCTTAGATAGAAAACTTCAGTTAGAAACAATCTAACTGTATGATCGGGTTCAATTGTAAAGTGCCCTGAGTAGACATGTATTGTGGATTGGCGCTATAGAAATAAAGTGAATTGAATTTAACTAAATAGACTTACATTGATCATCGATAGGTCACAGGTGACTTTGTTAATAATAATCTTGGCAAGCGTAAGAGTGATTATTCAGTTCTTTAAGCACCACTTCTGGCAGTCAGTAGGAGTGAAATATACTTCTGAAAACTCTCCTCATGGGTGGGGAGGGGGCAAGTGATGCATTCAGGACCATTCAGTAAAACTGAGCTTCTATTTCTTCTAGCAGTTGATGTTGCTGGTGTTGTTCTGGTTATGGATTGTTTTCCAGCTCTGCCCTTTTTCCATCACAGAATTCTCCCAGAGGAGACTTAGAAACACACTTTAAAATGAACCTCCACACATCTTTAGAACATGTTCTGGTTCTGTCTGGTTTCAGTTTTTCATTCAGTTTTACTGCATAAAATATTAGACATCAGTACATAATGTTTCTTAGACTTTAATGTTCAGTCAGGCTCATTTTCTACGTTCTGATGATTTATATGTTCATATATCAGTTTATCAGTTTAATCTGCATCCTGTTGAATTTGTCTAAAATCTTTTTTTTTTTTATCTTTGTTCAGATTGAAAAACGTCAAATTGTCAGAGATCAGCTGTGCTTCTCTGGGCTCAGCTCTGAAGTCAAATCCATCCCATCTGACAGAACTGGATCTGAGCGGAATTGACCTGGACCCTGAAATGAAGGATCTCTGTTGGTTTCTCCAGTCTCCCCTCTGCAAACTACAGACACTGAGGTCAGATATAGTATATTGTTTATTCTAATAACATTAGACTGCTAATCTCAATGTGAAGGTAAATCAACGAACTAGTAAAGGATCAATAGGCTGTTTGATCAGAAGAACAGGTTACGACTATCAGAAGGAGACTGTTTGACATTTTGGAATTGGTATATATTCATAGAGCAAACAGAAAAATTCAACCAGTATTTTCATTAAACCACAGTGAAAACATTGTTCCAAACAGCTATATAGAAATATAGCAAACAAGCTCAAAAAGAGTTTACCAGTAAGAGTTTAGAGTTTAGTGTCACACATTTCTTTCCAGAAACAATCTTTTGCAACAGCTTCCAGATGATTAAACCAGACCTCCCAAGTTACAAAAACTGATTTTTGGGAGATGCTTATTTAACCCCCCCTAACACAGATCAGCCCTTTTTCCTGTGAACGTTTTCACATCTATTTATTTTAGCAGTTGATGCTGCCTGTGTTCTTCTGGTTCTGGATTGTGTTGCAGCTCTGCTCTTTGTTCAACACAGATTTCTCCTAGAGGAGACTAATAAACAAACCTTGATCTGGACCTTCAAATGTCACTAGAACATGTTTTGGTTCTGCTCGGTTAAACTCTTTCAATCAGTTTTACTGGATCAAGTATTAGACATCAGAATATCAAGTTTTTGGAAATTTTACATTCAGTCAAATTCTTTTTAATGATTTATTTGTTCATATTTGAGTTTTAATTGTGTCCTGTTAAACTAAGTTAAAGTCTTTTATCTTTATTCAGATTGGATTACTGCAGGTTGTCAGAGATCAGCTGTATTTCTCTGGGCTCAGCTCTGAAGTCAAATCCATCCCATCTGACAGAACTCGACCTGAGCCAAAACAAACTGGACCCTGAAATAAAGGATCTCTGTGGGTTTCTCCAGTCTCCCCTCTGCAAGCTACAGAAATTGAGGTCAGATTTAGTATATTTGTTTATTCTAATAACATAGCACTGCAAATTCTGTGATTTCTAAGTCAACAGTTTCATTTCCATTTAGTTTCATTTTAGTTCTTTTTTAGTTATATTTGCCCCCCAGTGCACTCCGCTCCCTGTCAATTGATTACTCCAATCATTGTTCTGTTTTTGCATTTATACTTCTCTGCATTTGCTTTTTCCTACATTCTCTTCATTCCCCCCTGAAGTGATGTGTTCCCCTTTAGTTCTGTTTCTTGTATTGCCTGGTCTTTTATTTTTGACTTTATGCATTTGCTGCTGTCACTGTTATTATTGGATCTGCAAGAAACCATTTCAGCATTTGTCTCTGAATCTGAGTCCACTAAAAACCTCCACTCCCCTTATTACATGTGATAGTTTTTGTTCAGTTTTAGTCGACTAAATCTCAAAAAGGTTTAAGTCAAGTTTTTGTCTTTTTTTGCAGTTAACAGTTAACCTTTACAATAGGAATAACAACCAGATTCTTTCCCAGACTGACAGCTCTACCGTAGATGCTACAATAGCTGGGTATAGAATGCTGCTGTGCATTTCATCATTGCTTTTCGGCAGAAAACCTTGATTTATAGAATTCAAATAAACTTTTTTAGAATTAATGCCCTAACTTATAAAAAAATGTCTCACAAAAGATGTGAATATAGCAGATCTAGCTCAACACATCATATTGGTTAATATAGCAGACAGACAACAAAATGTCCAGCAAAGAAACTGTTTTAGACACCCAAGGTGTCCATCCCAAAGCAAGCACTTCCTGATCTACTATGAATAGGGTTAGGCGATTAGGCGATAGGCGATTCCTTTTGGTAGAAAATAAAAAATATACAGGAAGAAAAAAAAATAAAATCCTGATAGACAAAATAAATGTTTACTCTTGGCAGAGGATGATCAGCCATATATATAGTCATTAAGTAGCAAGGGCAGGAAGAGCCATACTGCTCAGAGCGAACCATCAGTGTGGAACGTAAAGCACAGACTGAGCTACACGCAGGCAAAGACGCATTACTGCATAAGCACAGCTGGAAGAGCAGAGTTTGTTAGAGTTTAGCCCGCAGTTTTGGACCATTTTAGCCTACTGTCACCCCCCGTAGCTGCTAGCACGCTCCATCTGTGGTCATGCAGACTGTGCACCACTGCACGCCAGGTGAGCGGCATGACCTAACAAGACACTGCAGCATGGCTGATACTGCTTAGCTGATAACAGCACAGTGATGCATTTTAAACGTCTGACAGGCCAACCAAATACTTTTTTATTTATTCTTGTCTCGTCAACAAAAACTCATACCCATGTCTCGTCATGTTTTCGTCATCAAAGATCTACATTCTCATCAGTTTTAGTTATCGTCATGAAAAAAAGGAGCGTCAAAGAAATTATTTCGTCAGCGTTGACGAAAATAACACTGATGGGAACATCTTCATCCCTCACAGCGTGACCACATTGGTGAAATTCACTTATCACATCGGCTCAATAGTCAAAAAGAGAAGGTGCCAAAAGGAGGAAAAGGTGCATGGGGATATATACAGGATATACAGTACGTCCACATATGTGGGGGAGTTTTGGCCTAGTGGTTAAAGCAGTGCAGCACTTTGTGATCCTGGTCTGTGAAAAGTGCTATAGATATAAAGTTTATTTACTTACTTACTTACTTGTGCTCTGAGAAGGTTGCAAGTACCTGGTTCGATCCCCACAGCCTCCACTCTGGGTCCCTGAGCAAGACCCTTAACCCCACACTGCTCCCTGGGAGCCGCACAATGGCAGCCCACTGCTCCCCAAGGGGAGGGGTTAAATACAGAGAGGGAAATTCCCCATTGTGGGACAAAAAGGGATTTAAATATCTATGACAGCTGAATTCTCTTATTTAACAGAATTATATATATATATATATATATATATATATATATATATATATATATATATATATAGTTATTGCACTGTGTATTAAATATAAAAAAACAGATTATTGCACATAGCATTAAAAATAGTGACTGCACATTAGTTATTGCACAAGTTATTGCAGTTATAGTGCAGTGGCATTGTAAAATCTGATGGCAGCAGGGATGAATGACCTGCAGTAGCGCTCCTTTTTCCAAACAGGCTGTTAAAGTCTTTGACTAAAGGAGCTGCTCAGCTCCTCTCCAGTCTGCTGCAGAGGGTGGAAGCTTGGACAGCACCCTCCTTTCAGCCACTTCCTCCACTGAGTCCAGAGTGCAGCCTAGGACGGAAACGGCCTTTCTCACCAGTTTTTTCAGTCTCTTTCTGTCCCGCTCTGCGCTGCCAGGGGCCCAGCA